GAAGATAGAGTCAGGCATTAAAGTAGAAGATATGTAATATAAAATACTGGTGTATAAACACAAGTAGAAGAATGCATAGAAATGTGATGTGATTTGTATACATATATAGGCAAAGACAGGATAAGAACTGCATATTTCCAAAGGGAATAAAGTTCTGCTCTCATAGTATATGCCATTTTTGCCTCAAGACTAGCGATTGTGTGTTCATTGCATCGCTGATCACATCCTTTATTCAGTGATAGGAAACACTCCATTTGACGAAAGCCTCTCTCAGTGCAGACCAAAGAGAATATTCTTGAAATGTTTTCTGAATAATAATATTAATAACAATAAATTGATTTAATTTGTATAGACTTTCACGAAAATTCAACAATTTTCTTCGCATTTTGCAAATAACTTTTCAAGAATTGTGTATTACTTTTTTATTGTTAGAAAAATATTGCGAATTATTTAAAATTTAAATATCAATAATACGAATGCAATTATGTTTAACAGGAAAATAGTTTAAACTTCGAGACCGAGATATCTTCTCAATGCGATAATTTGATTGCAACCATAAAAACACGAAAACAGCAATTATTGACTTTTGCCCGAAAAGAGAAGGACTATAAATTGCGAATATTGAGGGAACAAGTGATGGCATGCACTGCAAAATTACAACAGACAACAGGACTCATCCAGTTCTGTATCGAAGCCCTCAAAGATAACGATAACATGAGTTATCTTCAGGTAAATAATGATTTGTTGTGCAATAAATTTAATGAAATATACCATTTGATGGATTATTTGTTTTTTCATTAGATCGGATCGTCATTAATAAATCGTGTCTCCAATGTGGAGATGACATGGCATAAGGACATGAACACCTCTCCCTGGGTATCACCAGAGTTTGATCTCACACTAGACTGTCAGCCCGTCCTCATGGCTATCGAACAATTGAATTTCTCACAAATGAAACGTAAGTTTCCATTACTTTTATTCATCATCTCATTAACAAACGGACCTCAGGTTTCATACAGTGCTCTACTCTATAACTTTATATTCACTATATTTATTGTATTTTTCAAAACCCCCTAAAAATATTCAATTATACGTATAGTATATCATACATTCAAATAACATATATTTTGTTAAAAGTCACGAAAAATGTCATTTAAGGATGTTTTTTGAAGAAAAACCAATTCAATGACATTCAGTCTAACAAAAAATATTCAATTATACGTATAGTATATCATACATTCAAATAACATATATTTTGTTAAAAGTCACGAAAAATGTCATTTAAGGATGTTTTTTGAAGAAAAACCAATTCAATGACATTCAGTCTAACTTATCATTTGTATTGACGACTTTGACATTCGTTGAATTCACAGCTATTATTGATTTTATTTAATAGAATTGTGAGTTTCCATTGATTTTCATTTGTTTACTATAATTATAAACATTGATTTGTTTTTGAACACATTTATCAATTTAAATGTTTTTATTTCCACATTTCATTCATATCTAACAAATCTATTATTAGGAAAATTGTTTAAAATATCTGCATTACTGTAATATTAGTTTATAAAATTATAAAATAATTTTATTTTTTCATTTAATTTGATTTATTAGATAAAAGTAAATTAGTTTAGTTTTGTGAAACAGTTGACTGCTTTTCATTAAATCCAGTTATATCTCATTGAAGCACAACATCCCATCAATTAGTTGTAAGACTTATAATTCATTTAATTTATTCGCTTATGGTTTCACTCAATGGTGTATTTCATTTGTTTACTATCATATACTCTGTCTATTATAAACACATAGAATATATAGAATATTATACTATATTTACTGTACCTCATAGTAAATGATAGCAAAACTTATAATAAGGCGAATATTATTTATAACTTTCATCCATAGTAACGATAATATCCAATAATTTAAGTGAAATTGTTTTCAATTGATTGGTTGCTTCAGTAAATGGTCTGATTCTAAGAAGTCCTCTTAAAGAGTTCTTTACTCCGGATTTAGTCTTAGCCTTAAGATGTATTACTTATTCACTTCTCTATCATATTAGTGATAATCCTTTGGTTTTACTTCCGAATAGACCTAAACTTTATGATAGAGACGAATAGTTGTGCCAACAATTGTCAAAGAGATTTAACAACTTTATTTATATAACACATCTATTTTTCGATACACTGTCCATTGAAGTTACTTTCAAATGCATACCATAAACATTATATGACATTCAATATGTGATATGTTTGATATTTATTCAAATCCTTAACTCATAAGACTGTCTGACTGTCCACTCAAATGTTACTTTACTGCACAACACATTCTTTACTCCATTTGTTTAGTCGACAAATAAAGCGAAAAAACACATGAAAAACATATAACGTTATAACTTATAACTAAAGTGTTTCTCAGTTTAAGTATATAAACAATGAGCCCATGTTTCCGATAGTGATTAAGATTAATCATTTAATCATATGTTTAGCCTTATATAATAACTAGTTGTTACAAATAAAGCTAAATTTAAGCAATAAAATATGCATTTAAAGTCTCTATACGTTACCCCTCCCGAATCGCTAACACTTATGTAATGATTATATTAATGTTATGTTGTGCTAATAATGTTTATAAAGTATCTTATTGTGAATTGTATCCCAATGGACATAAATCATTTAGTTAACATAAACTAAAACTAGGAATTAGTTGCTTTAAAGGAGTTTATATGCATATATTTTTGGGTCACTCTCTAAACTGATATAAACAGTTGTTTGCAATACTATTAATTATAAGATAATTAAAATTTATAATACAATGAATGAAATAGCAGATGGAGAAGAAGGGTTTGAGTGACCTGAACACTGAGCATCTCTTTATTAGAGTATTGGCGCGAAAAATATATAGAGAAGAGTCATGTGTCAATTAGGTATTAATATTGGGTCTTAACTGTAATTAAGGTTTACAGTAACTAGTGTTTAATTACACTAATTAGTTTTTCCTGACAATTAGTTGTTTTAAAGGAGTTTATATACCTATATTTTTGGGTCACTCTCCAAACTGATATAAACAGTTGTTTGCAATACTATTAATTATAAGATAATTAAAATTTATAATACAATGAATGAAATAGCAGATGGAGAAGAAGGGTTTGAGTGACCTGAACACTGAGCATCTCTTTATTTAATTAATATCATTCATGAATTTGTGTGCGTTTAGACAATAGGCACGCATTGGGCACAGGGAGAGAGTGCTATGCATAGGCATAACACACATACATATAATTAAAGTCTGATCATTAACGCTGCCTCTGATGAACTGCAGGTGTTCACAGTTATGCCATTCCATGAGCTAATGATTTGAATGATAGTTAATATTAGTATTCGACACCATCTTTACTGACCATTACTTTTTGCTCAACAGAATTAATGATTAAAACTGATTACATAATAATAATCTCAAAATTTAATAAATGTATACATTATTCGGACACATATTTTCGATAAACATATAAATCATTATTCAATGAAATTTTATTTTTAAAAAATACATTATCATAATTAGGTTTTCATTTATTTATGACTTTAATTTTTATGCAGAATAACCCAATTTTACATAAATATTGAAATATTGTTATTAACTTAATTTCTTCATTACTGATAGCACCGGGACCTCCAATACTGATTCCCGACGAGTGTATGTCTGAAAACAATGGTATAACAGTCGGATGGCAACCGCATCCCTCCAGTTTCGTCGAGGCATTTATCCTCGAACTCGATGACGGAAATAACGGCTCTTTTAGAGTAAGTCTTCTATTGATTCCCATTTTGTTAACTAATCATAAGAAGGATTCGCTTTTGTTTTGAATAACTGAAACGCTTTGAGTAGAAAGCGATTCAAACATTTAGATTAGTTTTGAATCCATTTTTTTGTATTATATTTTGTTGAAAGAGTCGGCAGAACTGCAGTCCCGAGAGAGTTAACCGATGCTAACATTGATTTTGTTTTTGCATTCAAATGAAAAGCAGAGATGTTATAGTGAAGGCTAATAGTGATGGTGTTAGAGCCCAACTGCCGACTACTGTAAACTACTGTTCAGTGTTGTTGTAGAGTAGGGCTGATGTCTGTGAGTTGTGTTGTGCTCTTCATTGGCATCAATATGTTTGATATGTTTGAGCACAACATCCATACCATCCATACGAGTGACGCATCCATAGGAAAGCACCTAATGTTGTGAATATGAGTCATACTCTCAATGCAAACAGTGTTTGGGAGACGTCGTGTCCGCGGATCTCAATCCTCATCGCATGTATTGTATATTATTTTAGGCGCCAGTAGTTTAACATCAACTTCTCCTCCGATTCACAACTGATACTTCCTCTCCGTTATGAGACTATAAGTGCGTCCTTTCAGTCATTATGATTGTAACCACTGCTAGACTTCACACTCACTCATAGACCCCCACAATATATGATGAACACAAATGTGTGATACTTATTGAGCATCAAATTCATTGGTTTTTAGATAAGATATACTGTACTAGAAGTTTGGTTCAGTTATTAAAATTAAAATTGGATGAGAAGTGAATATATTAGGCATCCCTTACGAGAGACATGTCTTTTGTTTAATTTAAAATTCAAATGCGTTGACATTCAGGCGATAAGACATCCAATGATATTAGGTTTCGATTGTATTCCTTCGGGACGTCTTTACGCCACACATCACAACCCATTCAACATTTCCCCCATTTATTCTCATAACAACAAAAAAATATTGCATTAATTCTAATATAAACTCAATTCTAGTGAACAAACTTTAAGGAATTGTGAAAATGCTTTTATTTGTCTCTTTTAATGGCTTACAGAGAAAAGAGATTTTTTAGTGATTAACTTAATATAAAAACTTTTGAAATATTTATTATCTTTTTTTTAAGAATAACTAAAATAATTAATTGATGACAAAAAACACAATATAAGCTAAAATGAAAACATTCTTGTGAAGTGAAGTATAAAATATTTTTACAAAATGAGCTATATTTAGTCAAAGCAATCTATTTTAAGTAATAGTTATTTATAGCAGAGCATAGTTTAGCAGAAATTTAATCTTTTTAAAATTACTTGTAATATACATTATGAAAAATTTTTGCGATTAAATTTCGCACTGCAGTCATGGGTTGGAAAGGTATTTGAATTAATTTGCGATTAAATCATCAATTATTGAGTCTTAGAAACACTGGAGCAAAGAATTTCGGGTTATTTATAAATTAGAGATCATTTTCAGTCTTCATTCTTCTAAATATTGACTTTAAATTTCATATATTTTCTTCTTTAAAATATCAATGTTTTAATTGAATGTAATATACATTTGTATATTTATTTTATAAAATTAGAAAATAACAAAATGTGTGATATATTTGTATGAATAGGAAGTATATTGTGGTAAAGAGACGGTTTGCACAGTGGATGGCCTGCACTTCAACTCTATATATCGACTTCGAGTAAAGGCTTACAATAGTAGCGGCGAAGGAGTCTATAGCGATGTCATATCTCTTCAAACCGCTGATGGTAAGCATTTATTGAGCTCATTTGGTTATGTACTGATCCATTGACTGTGCCATTAGTTGCGTGGTTTGCATTGGATCCCCTGTCAGCCCATCCCGATATTATCATCACAAACGAAAACCAGACGTTTACGTGCGATAGTTATGAGCATAGAGTGGTTTTGGCAAATATGGCATTTTCTCGTGGCGTTCACTACTGGGAGATTAATGTCGATAGATATCAGAACAATGCAGACATTGCTTTAGGTATCGCTCGGGCAGACGTCTCCAAAGACAAAATGATCGGTATATCAATTCATTCAATCGCTTACACATTATTGTTATTACATATTATTATTGCATAACTACTTCGCTATACTATGATATATTATAACAATCTCTTTTTCTAACAAAGAATATTCTGTACTTTTGCGTGCGTTTGACTAAAATATGAATTGCTAATTGTAGGCAAGGATTCGTTGGGTTGGAGTATGTATATCGACAATAAGAGGTCGTGGTTTCTGCACGCAGACCGACACGACCGCCGGTGCGACGGCGGTATCGAGAGGTCCAGTGTTATCGGGGTTTTGCTTAATATGGAAAGACATGAGAAATGAATGCATTGCTTCTGCATTTGAGTTGCAAAACCAATGCAAACATCGAAAAGCAAATAATGAAAGTAAAACATCTGGTATTTTACAGATAACCGACAAAACATTGCATAAACTTAATACAGATTACAAATCATTATAATTACTGTATAACTAATAATTCAAATGAGCATAAAATGCAATCAATAAAATACAAAGTAGTTTTGCACTAACTTTTCAAATACCAAATCTTATCAAATGACTACCAATTAAGTAAGCACAACTTGGAGTACAATCACAACACAAATTAATATTTATTCTCAATTTCTCATACATTACTCTTATATGTATATAAATTAATACTTTAAAAGCATATTCAGGTTGTGATGCAAATTAGAGGATAAGAAAATTTGTTACAAACATAAACCAGACACCAGTTTGTATTAACTAAATTATACTCCAATTAATTGCCTATAAATAACCCAAACTATAATATTTAATATTCAATTTCCAGTCAACTTTAAAATACATGAAGAATTGAAAAATTAATACTAAAAGCAGTCATAACTTACAGTATAGTATAGTATTACTAAAATTACACAAATTGTACCATAATTAGAGAATTGAATTAAATTTAAACTTAGATTGAATTAAGTGATTATCAACAAAAAACATTCAAAACAATAATATAATAAATATTTCAATAGCATTGATATATAATGTAATGTAAATGCAATACAACTCACAGAAAACTTTTAATTCGACGGTATGTTGTATTGAGTGTCCGTTCGTGTCATTAGTGGCCAGACATGTGTATTGTCCCAAATCTTTGAGTCGATTGGGCATTCACTACTGGTCTAAAGGTAAGAAGACTATGGCAGCGCTCAGCATTTGGTTACCTAACAACAATACTAAGGTTACCTACCTTTACACTACTGACAGACGTCACAGCCGCTGTAACGTAAGTTACACCACTGGTTTGCCTTCGACTACACCCTTGTCCTGAGGTTTCGGCGAAAAGTAAAACGTGTCATCACTTCTCACGAGACAAATGCCAACCATTGCCACCAAAACACACACTCCTATTAAATGTCAATTCAATTAATACATTGTTTATATCATATTCTCAATCATTGGCTCCTTTGGTGGACACTAATCATGCAATTCAAAGACAATATCAATCAAATCAACTAATCATTCATTGAATTCACGTGTAAACCGTTGCACCGGTTGTCATATGACATGAATGTATACATATTATGTATTACATAATATTACAATTAAATTATAGTAAATCTGATATAATAGCAAAAGTATATCAAAATTAATTAATTATTAATCGAAAACTTACGGCAATTAACAATGTTCTGCATTTTAGCTGCACTTCGGAGTGACTTCTTCATTGGCGAGCCATTAGTGGATCAGTTAATAGCCATAATGTTGTCGATTACAAGCAAAACAACATAATAAATATTGAGTCCATTATCTCTAAGTGAGGCCACAAATGGACTCAAACAGAGATCAGTTGAAGTGATGTTATGATAGCGTGAATGCAATGACAGCACAAACACAACACTCTATTCACTATTGAATACAATATACGGTTTAGTCATTCACTCATTCATTCATTTATTACACAAAACACTATAAAAATACATACAATATATGGAGAGAAGTGAGACTCCAATCGATTCAATGCATTCATTATACAAGAGAGCAATCACTTGATCGCAACCCTCTCTCCCTCTCCTCCCCTCCCACTCTCTAACTGATGAACAGTAACTATAATTGCAAATTGTATTACAAACTATTACCCAATTAAACACTATCTATTCAATTAGTTACCATATATCACCATTCTAATGTTTATATCCAGTTAATCCAACTAGCACTAATTGCTAATTCTCTCTCTCTCTCTCTCTCTCTCTCTCTCTCCTCCCCTCCCACTCTCTAACTGATGAACAGTAACTATAATTGCAAATTGTATTACAAACTATTACCCAAATCTCTCTCTCTCTCTCTCTCTCTCTCTCTCTCTCTAATATATAAATGTTGGTGATTCAAGAATTATTTGAATACATGAGTTATACTTGTATTGGCGGCAATGGACGTGATATTGAATGTATGGTTGAGTGGTTAACACATAATATGCTGAAGTGATTGCATATATTTGATGATAAATTCGCTTTAAAACATGATTCAAATGCCAGTAATGATTAGACTATAGTTGAAGTGAATGATTGCAATTATGTTTAAAATACAGTTTTATTTCATTAAAACCTTTTCTATAATTTCTTGAAATAATTACAAAATTTAAAAATTGTTATAAAAAATGCTTTACAACAGAGACTGATATTAATTGAAAGTAAAGACTAATTATCATTATTAATAGAAACAAATAAATATAAAAGTGAAGAACAAAACAGACAGTCATTCCCAATGAATATGATTAACAAGAGAAGGGAAACGTATGGGAGGTTAGGGCTTAAGGATGAGGGTTAGGCCACTTCCATACTCTGGCTGTGATTACTGTCGTGACAGAGCACTGGTTTGAGAGGACCGGCACTGTCTTCGGAAACGTGTTGACTCGAGTCTGAATTAACAGCATTTCCACTGGTATTATGACTGCCATTCGTTTCGGTAACCATTGGTTCGCTATTGGCTTCAATTGGTTCCGAGTTATCGCAGGGATTGTCGCCCCAATCGATCTTAAATCTGGTCACACGAGGACTGGTGGCCAACACATTGCGCTGCAATTTGTCAAACAGCGGAGCCGTCGGCGGATTCTCTTTGAGCTCCGGATCGCTGTATTCATTGTTGACATAATATCCAACTCTAATGAACTCTTTGCCCCTATAAGAGCACGTGAGGAGTACGACAGTCACGCCCACGGCGTCGGCCACCGGTATCTTTGCGGGATCGGGCGGATCCGCTTGAAATACAAACATATGCCGGCCCTCCGGCACCGGTCCTACAAATACCGTGTCTAGTGTTTGGTCGTGTTCTTCGCTCTCAGCTGATCCCACATATATTATCTTCCACTCCAAGTCTTCCTTTAAGTCTTCAATGCATTCAAATGTGATCTCAAACTGAAAGGGATTGAAAAATGCCGACGGATTGTCTGCAACCAAACAATACATCCATTATTTGATTACCATTTCAGCACACATTCAAAGCAACACTTACCCAACACTACTATATTCACGATATGTGCCTATCATTGCATCAAACCATTCATTAGTCTTTGTATTACAAAGTGAGACAACAAACAGACATACCTTTGCCATAATTGGGATCAAATGAGTGACAAATGCGATGATTGTGTGACAACAAGTTGTGCCAAAAGTGCGCTCTTTTGGTCACTGTTTGGCTGAAGTGAGAGTCAACGCAAACGATGGCAACACTTGTGCCGTATATCCAATGCATTCGCCAATCAATGCATTGTTTTTGCAACTCTTAGCCAACACTTCCCTCTTGTGATCGATTGTAGCATTTATTCAAACTGTAAGGCAATCTCTGAATCATTCAATTCACTCAATCAACTATTCTGTACTTTACTGTACTGTTTAATGATCATGCATAAACTTGTCTTTCAACCCAGGTCAATTCATCAGTGGTACAAGTTTGACTTATGTTGGAATTTGAGTAACTGTATAATTAAGTGCATATATTTACAATGTACTTTAAATATGATAAAACATTGAATACAGAATTTAATGGTGACATTAAACTGAATGAATGCTCATATATTACATTCAAATATATACTGCATATTACAGTTACACTTATAGTCTTCTAATCTTATGGAAGCTTTTAGTTTACAGTTATTTTATTTGGAAATTTTTAATAATATTATTTGTAATATAGAATAATAAGTGATAGAAATAATCAATTCAAGTGTTTTGTTGAGAAATTTCATTTATTGAGAAATTATTTTTACAATATTTATATATTTGTTATATAAACAGATGAAAAGAAATCAATTGAAATGATATAATGATATGAATTAAAGAAATATATTGAGCTTTGAATAAGTTATACATCACATCAACACAAGAGGCACATCATTCACATCTAATTTAATATTATTTACAATAAATATATAATTATAAGACAAACAAAATGAGAAATACCAACACAAGTGTGTATTTCAAGAATATTCACAACAAATTATACTAAAATATGTTAAGAATTTTAAAAACAATTTAAAATTAAAGTTTTACTGTTTGTATAAAACATTATAAGAAACTATTATTGAGGACTTAATTGTGTTTTTTGACCAAATAATTGTTTAATTCAACCAAATTTTTGTGAACTAAAGATATTGAATAGAAATGTCATAATGAATACAATCCATCAAATTTTGTTTTTCATTTAGAGAATAGCATTCATTAATCCGTTTCACTCTTTTTTCTCTCCATTCCTAACGTATATTAGTTTTGACCACTTCTGCAGTTAATCGCCTAATGACTAGTTATTAGTGATTATTATTATTATCATTATTACGGAGTTATAAATATTACATTAGTTTCGATTCAACTCTTTTACGCTTATAATCAATAATATTAATATAAAATACTTTTTAGATTTTTATTAAATTCAATATAATTATTGATTTAAAGAATTAAAATTGTCAGAAAATATTACTGTATTTATCTAATAAATTGTAAATAATTTAATTTAGAGAAAAATGTTAAATAATCACATTAGTAAAGATATTTAACATTTTTTATGAATTATATGCTTAATAAGTCTACAATTATTTATAATTACATAATTCTCGACTATAAATATAATTCCTTGTATTCAACGCTTTGTTTGTTTGGCTAAAGATGAGAGATTTGAATGTCTTCAAGACATTAGTCTTTAGTAGTCGTATAGAAAATTAATGGTGTCTTTCATTGTGTGATAAGAAATCCTATTAACACTCATTTGTGTAGAGAATTGTCGATATATTACTACTTAATTAAAAGTAAAGACCAAAGTTATAAATATAGAAATTATCAGAGAGTGTCATATTTTTTGTAGATAAGTGTAATAAAACTCATAAATTACAATCCCATACAATAAACAGCACCTGAGATGTGATAAACCTATACTGTATTTCATAAATTAAATAAATTTACATAATAAACATATTTATTGTTCTC